AATGAAAACTTTATGGGCAAAAACTTCCTCATTTTTTACTCCATGGATTGGACTGAGGAGCCATTAAGTGTTTGGTACATCTCAAATATCAAATAAATTTGGAAACAAAAAACCCCTTAATACACCAGCCTTAATTCATAGCCCAAGTGTCAAATATACAATAAAAACTTATAGGAAAAATTGATATAGTGGTTGTCTTAGGTACTTGGTGGAACCCATCCTACATGTACGATTGTTTGTTTCTTCCTCATCTCTGTATTTTTTAGTCATATTGTTTTTCATTATTGAAAATACAATGTCAAAACATAGTTTAAATAGAGGAAAATGCTCAGCATTTGTTGCTACCCAGTGGAAAGAAAAGTTAAGAGTTAATTAGAAAAATACTGGGCATGGAAATTGAGGTTGATTTAAGGTTGCAGTAATTATCTAAATTCACTTTTCCTGGTGAAATGTTTTCATACAAATGGAAGAAAGTTCAACTTGGTATGAATACAGCTTAATGAAAATCAAGCATGTGGATTTTTTTTTTGGTAAATGGTGCATTAATGTTCTGAGAAATAATTGGTATGTCCTTGCATATGCATTTACTTTTAAGGTGGTGGTTATTTACACCCTAAAGAAAGTCATGCCATTCTGAAACACATTTAATTCCACCATGTTGGGTGAGGAGCTGTGGTTGCCTCACCCAAAGGGTTGGGTCTGTTGATTAAGGAGTCATTTGAAGGTGGGTTTCTCACCATGTGATCTTTGATATTGTTCCCTCTTCTAATCTCTGAGTAGAGGAAACCAGCAACATTCTAGCCCCTAGAATATGTTTGGCAAGTCTGAAGCTAGGTAAGGGGGGGGGAGGGAAGACATGGAGAGTGTAGGATGAAGGAGAGTGGAGGAAGAAAAGAGAGAAAGAGAAGACAGGAGAAAGTGGAGAGAAAAGAAAGCACTTAGTGCTGCAGAAAAATAGCACAGTACCAACAAATGTAAGAGGTCCACCAGCTGCTTTTCCTGGCCTAGTTCATTCCACTTCAGCATGAAGCCTCACCAGTGACCAAGAGTTCATCCTTTTAGATGTTTCAGAAATCAATTACAAAAGCTCTCTTGGTCACTTCTATAATATAACAATGATCAATACCAGCACATTCTTCCTGCTGTTTAGTAAATCCCTAGGGTTATAGTTTAAACCACATTTTAGATAGCATCTCTGCTCATGGCAGAGATAGAGAACATCTATTTGCCATCTTCCTTCTATGAGTGATTTCTATAGTGGATATTACTCATAATCCATCACAACCCCCATCTGGATGTGCAATGAAGATTTTTCCCAGCCTGTTCACAGACTATATTTTTGATATGTTCCATCAGGTTTCTGCTTCATATCTCCACAGTCCTTCCCGGCCAGTCTCTGTTTTACACTTTATGATTCAGCAGCATCAAAATGATTCTAAGTCATGACCACTTAATGCCAGTCTTTGGCTCTATGTCTTGGTTTAGGCTCTTTCTTCTCTCTGGAATGCTGTTTCCCATTTCTTCACACAAAGGGGGTTGTATATCATTTAGGAGGCAGCATGACTGTTATCTCCTTGGGGAAATTTTTCTAGATCCATTTCCCTACAGCGAATTAGGTGCCCTTCCTCAGAGCTCTTGTTATACCTGTGACAGAGCTAGCAGCTGGTTCATATGGCACTTCCAGAAAGCCTGACATTCTGAATTCAGACTCTCATGGTTATCTTGGCCAAGAGCCCTTTTGCAGGGCACAACCTGCACAATATACAGAGTGGCCCCCTTTTTTGTATATAGTAGACATTCAGTAAATGTTTGTTGAATGAACTAGCTTTAGAGTTTTCCAGAGCCATCTCACAACTTAACTCCTCCTCAGTGGTGGCATCCAGAACTGAACAAACCAATCTGTGCAGGTAAACATCTTGTTAGGCAGGTTCTCATCAGCAATAGGGCCACCACAAGGTTCTATAACCACTCTTATTTGTTCCTCAGCGGTATACCTACCATTCTACAGTCAAGAGTCTGCATATCCCCAACCATCTCCTATATATGCCCACAAGCCTAACCCTTCACCATCATTTCTATCTATGCAATTTACTTTTCCAACTAATGTGGGCACACTTCTCTTTACTGATTTCTGTCCCCATTCCCAATTTCTTAAGGCCTCTTTGTTGATGTTATTGCCAGGAACTAGCAGTGACTCTGCTCCTCAATCTAGACCACTAATTAATCATTAGGTTCTAAATGAAGTTGCTGAGCCCTCCAGGATGCTGGATGCCCCTGGGTCTGTTTTGTTTTGTTTTTGGTTCATCTTGGGACCAGCATTACATTACCCAAAGACAGTAGGGACACCTGCTTGGGGCTTCAGTTACCTGTGTATTTTGCTCATTGTTTTGTTTATTATCCCCAGGATGTGTGGGCCCTGTGCAGGACACCCAGGGCCTCTAAGCAGCCTTTGAGTGCAGTTCTGATTCTTGGATGCAGCCTTTCTGAGAGCTTCCTCTGCACTGGAGAGATCTTTAAGTACATATAGGTTTAATTTCCTTCTCACCCAAACCATTTGTACAGTCCCTCTCTCTCTCTCTCTCTCTCTCTCTCTCTCTCTCTCTCTCTCTCTCTCTGGTTACATTAAAACCTAGGGTATTACCCTGGGTTTTAGCCAGCTTGGTAAACAGAGGAAATTGAATGAATTTCCAGCCTCCATGATTTCATGGTTTGGGGCAGTCAGCAACTGTGGGAGGTTTCAGTTAATCCTAGCACTTGGTGAGTTTGCCATTCTTCTCTGAGAAGCTTCTCTGTTCAGTGCCATGTCTTACATAAGTCAATATGGTTCTTTTCTTGACTTGCCCTTTTCTTTCAATGATGTAAGAAGTCCAAACATTGGCAGTCACTATGTTTTGTTACTGGAGTGCTGGTGCTGATCACATCCTGATTCTTGTTTAATTTTTCTAGGAGATACAGGATGGTGGGTGTGTGGCAGTGATAGTGAAAAGGAGGCATCTGGAGGCTGAAGGATGTGTACTTCTTTAAGTTTAGGCTTCTGTATCCATCACACATTTTCACATCATTGCTTTTGACATTCTTTTTCACAACTTGCTCAAGTAAGTTCCTACTCCCTGGATGGGAAGCTTATTTCTTGGATCTGACACCAGAAATCATTGGTCTTTCAATGGGGTCTTTCTAACTGGGTTAGAGCACAGCCAGGGGAGATGGAATCCAGCTGAGCAATAATGGCACTACCTCTCAGTTAGTATCCTTCTGAGCTTGATTTACAAGCTCTGTTTGGAGAATCTAAATGGCCTGGACCTCCCTTTGTTCTGTTTTTCTTTGCTAGAAGAAATATGTTTAATTTTATAAGTAATACATGTGTTTTACTTAATTTTATAAGTAATACAATACAAGAATATGTGTCTGTGTTCCATGGAGTAAAAATTGTGCTTCAGCCTTTCCCCCATCACACTTCTCTCTGGAGGCTTAACAGGTTTCCTTTAAGGCTTTTTTTTTTTAATGCATTCACACTTCTCACCATGTAAATAAGCATACGAATATATAGCTTTGCTTAACATGTCTTTGTATATATTTTTTAAATTTTGACCTTTTCACTTGATTTATATGTATTGACAATTTCTGTCAATACATATAGATCAACTTCTTTTTAAAGCATTGCATAGCATTCCATAATGTGGATAGACCATCATTTATTCAACTACTCACCTACTAATGAATACTTAGGCTTTCCCCCTCACACACAGTTGCAGTGACTGTGTTTGTATATTTTTGTGTATATGCATCACTATTGCTATAAAGACAATCTCTGGAATTACAATTCTGATCAAAAGGCATGCAAATTTAAAACTTCAAAACATAGCTAAACTATTCTCTCACAGTTTACGTTTATACCAATAGTGTATGCAAAGGTTTGTTTCCCCACATGCTCTCCACCTTTGGATATTATTAGGCTTTTTGAACTTATTCATCCAGTAGGCAAAACACTTCACTGTTGCTTGCCCTCTTTTTCTACTTGAAAGGGTTCCAAAGGAGCCAAGAGCGCCTTGTGTTCTTTATTAATAAACTGGATTACTGGAAACCATTGTGTGCTTTTTTTGTGTGTGGTTATCAATAAGGTTTTTGGAAGAGGCTATACTTGAGTTGTGAAATTTCATCAAAAATCTGTAGTAGAAAATCCTTATCCACACATATAAAGCGAAATTATTTCCGTACTCAAGTCACAATCAATTTATTTCTTTGCTTGATTATTTTAGTGTTTTTTAGTTGTTAATTCTACATTCATTCCATGTTGAGTACTGGGACATGTGTTTGCAATTTGTTCATTCTAGGACAGGGCAACATGCTTGGCCTTTATTTTTGTCTTCTTTAAACATTGCTTAATTAAGTTTCTCTGACAAATTGGGCTTCAATTAAGAACTTTTTTTTCCTCTTAAAGAATACATTGTGATCAATAGAAACTCACCATGACTCCTTATTTCTTCTTTGAATTCATATTCTGGATTCCTCCTTGAGCACTGAACTTCTGTCATAACAGTCTAGTGACTAAAGCCAGGTCTGTTGGTGCCAAGATCACGCTATTGATTCTCCTTGCAAATCTATTTGTTTTGCTTTGTTTAAATTTATTTATTTATTTTGTTGTATTTTTCCATTACCATTTGTCCCCCTTATGCCCCCTTCCCCTGCAATCACCACACTGTTGCCATGTCCATGAGTCCTTCTTTTTTCTTAATCCCTCTACCCCCAACCCCCTCCTTAGCTGTCATCTGCTCTCTATCTATGAGTGTGTCTCTATTTTGCTTGTTAGTTCAGTTTGTTCATTAGATTTCACATATGAGTGAAATCATATGATATTTGTCTTTCTCTGACTGGCTTATTGCACTTAGCATAATGTTCTCCAGGTCTATCCATGCTGTTGCAAAGGGTAAAATTTTTCTTCTTTTCTATGTCCAAGGAATATTCCACTGTGTAAATGTCCCATAGTTGTTTTATCTACTCACCTATTGATGAACACTTGGGCTGCTTCCATATCTTGGTGACTGTAAATAATGGTTGAAAATCATTAGATATATATTTCACATAATAGGATACCATTATATGAAGTGATTATCACTTTTAAGCTAATATCTGTACCAGTGTTTTGGTTTTCAAGTAAAGCATGATGAAAGATACAAATCACATTGTTAACAATGCTCTCTGCTGTGGGTGGGCACATGTGGGTGGGCATGCTCTCTGAGCATAGTGAGTCCCTCACTATGGTCACTGCTAGTGCCCCTGCCTTAACTCTGAGCCAAACTTAACAGCAATAGAGGGTTATTTATTTAGTCCCTCTGTGGAGAAAGAATTTTGCCCTGGCTTTGGAAGTACAACAGACATAAATGACCCAATCCTTAAACTTAAGTTTAGGTTCTAGGGAAGTTAAATCACAAAAACACGAAGAAATACCTAACAAAGCATGGTCTCTATAAGGGACCATCCCTCCCCAGAGCTGATCACTTCATTGTCTTGTGTCCCTATGATGCTGTTAATGAAGCCTGAGACTGGGCAGTAATACAATGCTACTAAAACATTAACAAAATCAGCCCCCAAACAGGCTTTGGCTTGTTTTCCAATTTACAATATGTTCCTTAAGAGCAGGGTTTGTTTGCATCCTACATTACTTTTGTAACTCTGCTGCCGAGGTCAAGCCTTGGTATATAGTGAGGAAGGGGTGGTCTCTACGGCCTCTGCTGAATGGGCTGACTGTGGTACTAAAGTATTATGGTGCTAACAAAGTTCACTTTCCATTGATCTATTTTTTTCTTTTCTTTTTTCATTTTCAGATCTGTGCAGTTTTTCCATCATTTCTTCTGAACTTCCTGTCGGGTGAGTGAGGCTATTTCTAAGTGATAATGTAGAAATACTGAACATTTAATTGTTTCTTTTTTCCTTTCAAATTACCACCCCCCTTCATTCTAAATCCCCATCCCTTTAACTGCTGTATTCTTTTTTTGTTTGTTTTGTTTCAAACTCCTCACTCCCACCCATCTGAAGCCTTCCTTTCTTCAGACATTTTCTTTTCCTTGGGGATTCTATTGTTGACCCACTTCTCTGTAATCTATTTTTTTTTTAAATTTTATTTCTTAGAGAGGGGGAGGGAGAGAGAGGGAGAGAAACACCAATGTGTGGTTGCCTCTCACATGCCCCCTACTAGGGACCCGGCCCACAACCCAGGCATTTGCGTTACACTGGGAATTGAACTGAGAATCCTTTGATTCACAGGCTGGCACTCAACCACTGAGCCATACCAGCCAGGGCCATTTTTTTAAAGTAACTTTCAACAATGGGTACAGATTTTGAAATGACATGGTGCAGTAAAATCTGGGGAAGGAGAATGATCATTTACAAAGAACTTTTTGGAATTTTGTTTAACTATTTCTCCTTTCTTTTTCCCTGGACTGGCTTCCTTATTTCCAACAGCTCTTCTCCTGTTTTGAAATGGACCATTGAAGTGTTTTCTGTCTCTTAAAGTATTGTGTGCATGCAGTTTCCAAAGGCTCCTCGCAACTAGATTTTTGGTCCCAGCTCCCTTCTATATAGAAATTCTGAAGCTACCACTGACTTACACTTCCTGTTTCCTTTGAGACTCAACCGTAGAGGTACCCTGGATGGGTAGCTCAGTTGGTTAGAGCATTGTCCCATAATGCAAAGGTTTCGGGTTTGATCCCCAGTCAGGGCATGTACAACAACCAACCAATGAATGCATAAATATATGGAACAACAAATCAATGTCTCTCTGTCTCTGTGTTTCTCCCTCTCTCTCCCCCTTCTTTTCGCACTGTGAAATTAATAAGTAAAAAAATTTGAACAAGATAGTGGTTATTTCTGGGACTTCACTGCTATAAATAATAGAAATCTTAGAACTAATGCAAATGCTTATTAATTATAAATTATAATTATCCTACTATGTAGATTATAAAGACATATGTAGTTATTATAATACATGCTAATAAGTTATTGTTATAAACAATGTTAAAAATACCTGTGCAGGGTCACACAGCTAGTAAGTGTCCAAGCTAGGATTTGAAGCAGGAGTTGGCATGGTGTGATAACAAAAGCAAGAATGGGCAGATATTGGTAGGTGGTTTGCTTTCCTTAGTACCTCACTTCCTCTCAAATGTAATCTGATGATTTAAACCATGTGCTTCTGCCCCATCGCTGCCCCCATCCCCCAGTGCAGGACGACACCTTGAAGATGCTTTTAAGGAGAGTCTGTTATTTTTCTTCTCTACATATTGATTGAATTTTTGTGCAGCAACAGATTCTGGACCAAATCAATTAAAAAATCTTTTTTGAGTGCCTGCTGTGGGTGGAGTTGCATGCTGTGGGAGTTAGGGTGAGGTGGAGACCAAGTCTATATAGGAGAGGATACTGTATTCTGGTGCCTTGTTTTATTTTTAGGCCAAGATGAGTTTCATGAACCATGAAAAGAAAGTGTCTTTTAATTTTTTTTAAATCACTATTTGGCCACACCAATGGCCAATTAATCTAAGTAGCAGCTGTAAGCTATTACACACAGGAGAGGTATCTGTCTTGTTTATTATATCTTGAGTCTGTAGCATAGTACCTTTCATGTACAAATAGAACCTCAATAGATATTTGTCAAAAAGATGAATGAATGCAGAAAATAATTCCAAAAGCTATTTACATTTACCCCAGGAGTGTACTATAAAGTTGCCTTCTCATTACGCTTGTTTTAATAGCTAACAATCCTTGAGTATAATAAGAACTTCATTATGTTTCCCTGTTTCATCTCTACAGAAACTTTATGAGTAGTCCAAGTAGTACCTCCATTTATTCAGATGAAGAATTTAGGTCCAAAGAACTTAAAGAACAGGCTAGGGTTACACTCTAAGTGGTGCAGCTTGAATTTGAAGGCAGGCATATGGCTCTACCATTTATGCTCTTGTACCGTATGCTATTGTGCTTGTTTGTGTTGTTGGACATATTTACTATGAACTTTGGGAGAGGATCCTGAAGAGTAAGGGGAGAGAGATAAAGTTGGCTTTCATTTTGCCATGGGTAATCAAGAGGATGGTAGATTGCAGGTAGGGCATTGGAGAAATTTGGGGATGAGTGAGGGAATTGAAAAATATAACAACTTTTGCAAGGTTTTATGAATATTTCTTTAAGTGCATAATTTATTTCTAATCTTGCATACCTGATATTGATTCACTTATTAATTAAAAGTACTTTTTTCATTAGAAAGCACTTAATGCTTATTAAGAAAATCATTTTGCACTGTAAAGACCAAACAAATCATTTTCCTTCTATTTGTTTCTAGAGACGAAAAAGCTTCACATTACAATCATGTTGTCGAGTCCACCATTGACTTTACTTTGTGCTATGACAAATGACACACAGAGCTGCTATTTGGAAGGTCATGCTCAGCACTTACCAGTTAACCCAGTTTCTATCATCTTTGGGACATTGTTCTGTGGTTTTCTTTGTTTGTTTTTGTGGGGTTTCTTTTGCATATGAGATGTTGTTTATCTTACCAGAGCACTGCTGGTGTTAGTTCTTGGTGACTTTATCTTAAAAAAATGTTGTTGCTGAAGTTTGAATAATTCCTTTTGTCCTATATTTATTCCAATTACCCCAATTTACAAGATTCAAAGTTGCTGCTAGACATTTTTGTGAGCATTCCAGAGAATTTTGTAAATAGTCTCATTTGATTTATAAAATGGGTAAAACTGTGAGGACTTTCCTTGTCAGGTTTTGGCACCAGAGTTATGCTAGCCTGGTAAAAATGAGTTAAGCTATGCTTTTTCTCTAGTCTTTGAGTTCTTATGAGATTGCAATTCCTATTCTTTAATTATTTGATAGAATTACCAGTGAAAAATGTCTGGGCCTGGAGTTTTCTTTCTGGGAAAAGTTTTGAGACTTTTGATGATTATATGTCTATTCAAGTTATATTATTTCTTCTTTTTACTTTTTTTTTTATACATTTTTCAGTTTTCCAGATTTTTTAATTGAATTTATTTGGGTGACATTGGTTAATAAAATTATATAGGTTTCAGGTGTACAGTTCTATAATACATCATTTGTATATTGTATTGCAGATTCACCACCCCTCTGGTGGTGGTAAAATGGTCATGGCTCCTTCTATCACCATTTATCCCCTTTACCCTCTTCTACTTTCCCCTACTCCCATCCCCCTCTGGTAATCACCATATTGTTGTCCGTGTCTATGAGATGTTTTGGGGTTTGTTTAGGGGTTTTTGCTTAATCTTTTTTTTTTTTACCCAGTGTTATTTCTTCTTGATAAATTATATTTTCTTCTAAGAATTCACCTACTTCTATCTCAATTTTCAGCATTAATAATTGAAGTTGCCCCTAAGATCCTTTTATCATTTTTATGTTTATAGCATCTTCAGTTATGTTGCTTTTTAAATTGTGTTGGATATTAGTTTATGCTCCTTCTCTTCCTCCCCCACTTTTCCTCCTTTCTTCTTCCCCTCCTGTTAATTTTGTCAGAATGTCTTTACAAAGAACCACCTTGGGTTTGTTAATAACCTTTGTTTTATGTTTTTAATCTATATCATTATATATATCATGCTTTTATTTTATTTCCTTTTTTCTCCTTCTTTGGGTTTATTTTGCTGTTCTTTTTCAAACTTCTTGAGAAGGAGCTCAAATTATTAATTTTAAGTCTTTTTATTTTTCTATTACATACATTTAAAATATAAATTTTACTCTGAAGATCTTTAGCTCTACCCTCATATCTTGATATATGGAAGCGTTATTACTGACCAAGTCACATGTTTTGTAGTATATGTTATGACTTCTTTAATCCGTAAGTTATTTGTTAAATAACAATTTAACTTTTTGTTATGACAACTTAATTGTGTTGTGGTCAGATAATTTTCTCTTTTCCTTTTTCCAATTCTGTAAAATGTTTTTGAGACTTCTTTTTGGCCTGTTGACTCTCATAAATAGTCAATGTGCCTTGAAATGATTATGTATTCTATGATCTTTAAGTCAAATTGGTTAAATATTGAAATATTCTGTATCCTTAGTGACTTTCTTATTTTAATTTTATCTATTGCTGATATGGATGTGTGACTATCTCTCAATATGATTGTGAATTTGTTCTATTTCTTCTTGTGTCCTGTTAAAAATACTGCTTGGTGTATTTTGAGGCTGTATTATTAGTTGTACTCACATGTAAATTTGATTAGTCTTCCTACTGAATTGAACCTTTTATAAATAAACCATTTGACTGATAGGTAATGACTGTTGCTTTAAAGTATAATTTGTCTGATATTAGTATCAACGTATTAATTTTCTTTTGATTAGTACTAGCATCATGTCTTTTCTGTCCTTTTACTTTCAAACTTTCTGTAGCATTATGTTCTAGTTATGTCCTTGTAAATAGGATATAGGTGGATTTTGTATTTTTTCCTGTCTGATAATCTTTGCTTTTTAATGGAATAATTTTGTCCATTTATATTTAATGAATCATTAATTAGTATTGTGTTTACATTTACCATCCTCTTTTTCCTAACCATTCTTTATTTCTTTTTCTTCCCTTTCTTGCCTTCTTTCAGATTGACTAAATATTCTAAAAAACATTTCCCCCCTCTACTAGTTAGGAAGTTATATACTTCACTTCTAATCTTTAGTAGCTACTATAGAAATTACTATGTCTACTGAACTTTTTAATGCCTAAAGATAATTAATACATTTAGCCTCCTCTAAGATAATACAAGTACCTTGAAAGGCTTTAATTTTATTTTTTTATATCCTAATGTATATATATATTTCCCATGTTTATAGAATATATATGTAATACAGTTGTCATATTTTATTCTATCATGTTTCAT